TTTTTTTACCTTTTGGGGCTAGAGACCCTAGGAACTGAGGAATTGCAGCGCTGGAGCCACATTGGACCTGTGTGTTATCTAAAACTTGTATCCTGCTTCCAACAGTTATCAAAAACAGATGCTTCAGAAAACTGGGGAAGAAATCTCCACTAGCGATAATAACAGGATGGAAGTCTTTCTATCCTTATCACTTATACCCTTAAGCATGAGGGTTTGTATTTATCATACATATTTTTTAATGCTACAATATGTTTTCTCTGTGCGTGTCAATGTCTAACCCTTTTCAATGCTGTATAACCCACAGCCCTTGCCAGTGCAAGCACCAGCATGGAGAAGTGAATGATGCTGTGCAACGGTAAGATGTAAAATAGAAGAGCTGTGGTATGAGCTGCATTTTAAAATGGAATTACACACAAAAAAAAGTTGAATGAGAGTGTAGCAGAAAGAGTGGGATGTTTTGAGAGTGCTTGTCCCCCAGTTTGAATGCTGCAGCCAGTACAGGCCATCAGCAAGTGGGCTGTGGGAGACGGGCGAGGCTGCAGCTCACCAAGCGTGGTATGCAGCAGGAGGCTAAAAAGAGGTAAAGTGGGTGAGAGAAACCATAAAGATCAGAGATGTCATCTCACATGAATACAAGTGTGCAACATATGGGGGATCACAAGCTCATTTCATTCCCTAACCATTTCTACTTATCCTGTTGTTAACTGTAACAGTTAACAACAGAGAATTGTTTTGGTGCATTTGTTCTGTTTATTTTCAATCTGTATTTTCTTTTCCTTGCCTCATTTAGAATTGATGAACACACTATTTAAGCTTTCACCATAAAGAGCAGGCACTTAAAAAAACCATTGTGAGGTAGTACTAGTAGGCACTTGTATGAAACAAAGTCTAAATATATTTGTTTGCTCCATAACTTTTTTTTCACGTGAATTAGAAAACAGGGAAAACACTACACTATTAGCTAATTTTCAAATGAGATCGGTTTTGTTTCCAATTTTGTTTCCAATTTTTCCAAGATTAAAAAATGGTCACGCCAAGTTGTTTATTATTATTACTTGCAATCAAAATCCATTTTAATTTATAAATGTCACGAATATTTCAAAGTGATGTGCAAAGGTAGGAGCAATCCTAAGACTGCATGAAAATTTCAGGTACTTTTCTTCTGCAGTGTTTAATACACAAAACACATAGACAAATCAGACGATGCCAATAGCCTGAATGCTGGATTATATATCACTAGCTGACAGGGATGTAATTAATACTTGTCACTAGGCAGGTAAACAAGTCTGGATTATGCCTGGCTGCTTGAGAGAAACAGTGTGTGTGCCTGGCTGGCTTCATTCAGTCGCAGAAGAGCAGAGGGAAGGAAGGTACAACCCTGACCATATGCTGCACAATCTTACTTGATGGTTCACACAGCAGGTGAGATCTGAAAAATATGTTCAGCCCTGGGAGTTTAGGATTCCCAATCCCCAGAATTTCTTACCGCCAAGCTTAGATGGCTCCTCCCTCAGTAGCTCAGGGTTCTTTTGAGCTCACGTTGTCACTGAGATGCCCAAAGTATTTGAGTGTTTGTAGGGCTTTGTTTTGAATCCTGGAGTTTGCTCTGGGAGTCAACCAGGAAAAGTGAAACATAGCACCAGCAAAGTCCATTTGTGGATCTGTGGGCCTATACTCATATACTTACAGTCACCTCGTGCATTTGAGGTGGCTCGAAGCCTCTCAGAATTACAGGCACCATGACTGACCCACAGTCACATTCTGTTATGGAAAGCAGAGGAGAGACAGAACTTGGAAGGAGAAGTAGATGGGGTAAGATCCAGAAAGCTGGGATTTATGGTAGTGTGATGGGTCTGCAAGACACTGGTCTGTTCCTTGGTGGCTGACAGTAGTGGGAGCAGGTAGGCAGAGCTACATCTGAAGTAATTTATGTGCCTTTTTCTCTTCCTTTCTTCCAGTTTGTTGCCATAAGCAACTGGATATTTTGTCTACATCTAGTAGCAAGAGTAGAGTCACTGTGAAAGCTCTAAAGAGACCTATGAAAATAACCAAGCAATGAATAATTCATGACATGCTGGAATTATTTTAATTGATTTCATGATATGCTGTTTAGTATTAAGTGAAGCGTATCTCCTCCAAAGGAAGTCTGTTTTCCTTTGTTATTAATTTTTTAGCTTTTGTGTAAAATGACTGTGCTTTCCTCTTTTCAATCTTTATAAAATAATTAAAAAAGGCTTTTATCTTCCCTGTACGTCTAGGAAGAGGTCTTTTAATCAGTTAAGAACAGTAAGTTCACACCTTCACAAACGCTGGCTCTTTACCTGGTAAATTTAAAATGAAGCATTTCTGATCACTTTTGATGGTGTGCTTAGACTGGTGTGAGTCTGTGGGCTGTGTCTGCAGTATTCATATGCAGCATTTTGGAGAGTTCCTGGACATATCCACATACAGCAACAGAGATCTTGGAAGTACAGATCCCCACAGAGAGACTGTTTGGGCACAGCAGAAGCCATTCTTGCTGCTCACTGTCCTAATGGTACATACTCCTTTAACTCTCTGTGGTTGAGCCATGTGGGGTCCTGAAATTCAGAGGTACATTTTCTTATGTTGCTGCTCAATTTTCGGAAGACATCATTAATGTGATAGCCAACATCTATCAAGTAGTGTAACTTCTGAGCAGCTTCTGTAAAGTGAATTTAAATGCTCTGTGGATCTGTCTGGTAATTTCAGAAATGCAAAGCTACATTAGAAATCCTTATTGCAGGACAGATGCATAACTCTCGCTTCTAGTCAACCTTTCTACTTGTGGTATAAGCAAAAGTCGCATATTCATGAAACACAAAGCACAATTCGGTGTTGTCATTTGACCTTGTAACAGTCAAATCTGGATAGTAATCTCGGTTGTGCCTCTCGGGATATAAGCTACTATCCATAAGGATATTCTTCATGCATGCTGTGAAGTATAGAATAGCTATACTGCAGCTATACTCCCCCTTCCAGGCAGACCCCTTAGCAGGAGACAGCAACAGGTAGCTTGCTGGGAGAGATTCACATTGCCTCTTTTATTGTCACTATGAACTGCAATGAGAGTCAGGATTCAGGCTTCCTATACTCTATTTGTCTCAATGAAGTGAAGAAAAATGTGGTAAAGAACAGAAGATGGTTAAACCCACAGCTTCTCCAGCACAGTGATTCAATATAGCTGTTTAGTCATTGACATACTGTTCTTCGCTTTCTCCTACACATTATTATGAGAGAAAAAAGTCATTAGTAATCACTGGATTAACTTCTCTCTGGGCCAAGGGACAATTGCTTTTTGTTACTGAAAACTATTGGGTATTGTGCCTTTGTTTTGAGATTTCCTTCCTCTCCTATGCATTACAACTGAATGAAGGTTTACTCCTAAAGATCATTTCAAACTGTAATAACATGGTAGGCACATTTCCCCCCTGAACTACAGTGACAGCTTGACACTGGGAGGTCATACTTGGCCGAGTGTAAATTACAGACTCCACCTTATGCATTTGAATTAGAAGTTCCTGTGGCAACTCACAAGTTGTAAAGGACCAAGTGCAGTGGGACACAGAGCAGCCCCAGTCTGGTCCACAGTACACAAGGCCTCAGAGTTTGACAGTAGGAGGGACATCCAGCTGTCTTCTGCTTGGCCAGTAAGATCTCTTACTTGACATGTCACCTGCAATACATGATAGAGCAAAATATAACACCACCTTAAATAAAAATGGGAGGAAGCAATAGCCTCCTCATATTAAATTACTTTCCAGGGGGCAGTGGAGATTAGGAGAAATCACAACTGATGCACACTATTTTTATGTTTTAATGTGATGTTCGGCAGCACTGCCAAAGCAAGCATTCAGAAATTCTGAATCTCATCCAGAAAGTTTGATATGACCCTGAAAATCAGGATAGTTCAAATAATTAACACAAGTGGCTCTTTATTTCTTTTCCTGGGTTCAAATCATTACCATTCAACTCCAGTTTTTCTAGCATGGAGCTTGTAGAAATACAAAAGGCTTATGGAAAACAGCAAGTGCTGTGAGAGCTGGTGGCCAGTGGCCACCGTGCTGGGATCACCCTGACGGTCTCAGCAGCCTCCACCAGCAGCAACTTGTGTTTGTAGGGCTTTGTTTTAAGTCCTGGAGTTTGCTCTGGGAGTCAACTAGGAAAAGTGAAACATAGCACCAGCGAAGTCCATTTGTGGATCTGGGCCTATACTCATATACTTACAGTCACCTCATAATTTTGTTTAGCCATGACTGACCCACAATCATATTCTGTTATGGAAAGCAGAGGAGAACTTGGAAGGAGAAGTAGAATGGGGAAAGATCCAGAAAGCTGGGATTTATGGTGTAGACACTGGTCTGTTCCTTGGTGGCTGACAGTAGTGGGAGCAGGTAGGCAGAGCTACATCTGAAGTAATTTATGTGCCTTTTTCTCTTCCTTTCTTCCAGTTTGTTGCCATAAGCAACTGGATATTTTGTCTACATCTAGCAGCAAGAGTAGAGTCACTGGGAAGGCTCTAAGGAGACGTATGAAAATAACTTGGCTGTCCGAGTGTTTATGGTGTGGGAAGGAAACACGGGGACCGGCAGAACTCGCGCCGATGCTGCCGAGGCCCGGCGGCTGCAGGCCCGGCCCAGGGGGCCCGCGGGACGGACACGCCGGGGCCGCTCCTCGAGGCTCCCGCGCTGCGGGGCAGCGCCCACGGGACGGGGAGCCGGGGCCCGTGGAAGGCCGGGGGGCGGGTTGGATGTCGACACGAGAAGGCCAGAGCGGGACCGAAAGCGATGGACAGCACCACCCGGGTGGTCGGCCGGGCAGGGCAGGGCAGGGCAGGGCAGGGCAGCGCAGGGCGCGGAAGCTCCCCCTGCACGGCCCCGCCCCGGCCCCCGCGGCGGTGAGAGCGCGGGCAGCCCCGGCGGCCGCCTCCTCCTGGTGCAGCGCAGCGCGGGGAAGGACCGCAGCTAGAGGGAGCTGCTCCGGACCACGTCTGCCCCGTGCGCCCCGGTTCTTTCACAGGCTCCCCGCCCCTCCCCTCCCTCCTTCCCCCGTGATGGCGGAGGACAGCGAGTCCGCGGCCAGCCAGCAGAGCCTGGAGCTGGATGACCAGGACACCTGCGGCATAGACGGCGACAATGAGGAGGAGACCGAGCACGCAAGGGGTAGGGGCGCGCTGGGCGGGCGGGCACGGCTCGGGGAGACAGCGCCGTGTCCGCCGCCGCGGCAGCGGCCGGGCTGGCGGTGCCGGGCCGGGCTCCCCCCGGTGCCCGGAGCGGCCCCTCGCGGGGCGGGGGCGCCGGGCGGTCCTTGCCGCCTGGGGCGGCCTGCGCGGCCCGGCCCGGCCCGGCCCGGCCCGGCTGCTCCGCGGCGCCTGCGCTGGGCCAGACTGCGGCCGAGCGCCGCCCCTGCCCGGGCCGCTCCCGCCCGCAGCAGCGGGTGTGGGACGCCTCGTGGCCCCTCTGGGTAAGGGGAGAGGCGGGGGGCCGAGCCCCGGCCGTGGTGAGGGGGCGGCGGGACTGGCGCTTTTCCCGCCGGACCCGCCTTGAAATTGTGTCGTGAAAGGGAGGGTGAATCCTGCCTCGTTGTCGGCGCTTCAGGGCTTGGGGGCGTTTCTGGGTATTTTTGGCCGTCAAGGAAACCCCCCTCCCCCGCCTCCCCGTAGCGGGGGAGATGCCCCCGTGCCCCTCGCTCGTTCCGGGTGGTTCCAGCCGAGCGGCTCCGCGCACATCCACAGCCACATCCACCCCCCGCTCCCCTCCCGGCCGGAGACCTGTCCGGGCATCGCCTGTGTCAGCCCGCCCTGCAGACGCTCCTCCTCGCCGTCACCCATTGTCCACAAGGAGATGGTACCTTCAGATCCACACGCTGTGGAGAGCAGAGTGCGTGTTTTACCGCGGCATTAGCCGGGGCAAACGCCGTTGTCTGGTTGTAGTTCCATCTCCGCTAATCTTGCGTCTTAAATCTTCCCACGCTGTGGATCAGGCGGTGTCTCCAGTTGCCTGGGGAGCTGACAGAGAGGCATCCGGCATAGATGCGGCCCCTGGCACCCGGCAGCTGTTGGGCTGCCTGCAGTGTCGTCTGTCCGGGCGCAGGGTGCCAAAGGTCTGGCTTGCTTTGCGGGCTTTCGGGGCTGGGAAGTGGAAGGAACGTGTTTTAAGGGTCGAATTCTTTTAAATTTACTTCTTTTGCTTTTTTGAGAGGTTAAGAAAACGTGATTGCAGAGAAAGTGCTTTGTTGTCGCAACTAGGAGTGGCTGGAGTAACCCAAAATAGAACTAGGTTAATCTATACACTGCTACACAAATATCTTCCTCGTGAATTTCTGATTGATCTGGTCGAGAGCCTTCCTGTAGGTGCTTGATGTTTGAGGATGTACTCTGTTGTCTTCTGTCCCTAGGATTTGCTTGGCAAACATGCAGCACTGCATCTTAAATGTGACAAGGGAAATCTAAGAGACTTAGGGGAACGGACTTGTCAAAAAGGCAGAAAAGTGGAAAACTTTGATGCTTGCAGTTCTGTCATTGAATTAATGGCATGCACACTGAAATAGTTGTGTCAGAAATAATTACAGTAGTATGAATCTGGGATATTAAAAAGGGAAAAAATAGTGTTTAATTATGTTAGAGCTTTTGTTACACTTTTTTGAGTAAATATATCACCATTGATGATTCATGAATATGTAGAAGTTAAGAGCAGAGAGTTATTATTTATTGCTCTTCATAGGAGCCAACCTGATGTCCTTGGTGATATTGTTTGATAGCCAGATGATGCCTGTCTGGAATTCATTCGGACCATATTCCTACTTCAGTTTTTGTCCTGTTTGTTTGTGTGCATGCCCGGGCTGTAGCTGCCCTCTGCAGTGCTACTGTGTGCTCGGGCTGCTGTGACAGTGAGCGCAGTGTGTGAGAAGCAGCCAGGGAACAAAGAATTGCACTTCAGTGTGTTCCCGATTGCAGCTTGTGCTCTGCTCCAACTTGGGTTTCTCTGAGCTCTGAGGGATGGCAGCTGTGGGCTGTGTGCCCTTCTCCCTGAAACTTGTTTGTGTTGTATATCCTAAATGTATTTTAGTGAATATTTCAGAAAAAACTGTGTTATTCCTCTTAAATAAGAAGGTGAATACTTACAAGTAATATGAAGTTTAGTTAAATTAATGGTAGATCATTCCAGTAGGAAAAGCCTCTTAAGTATTAGTATCTGCTGCATGAAGTTAATATCGACTTTCGAATTACTTTATTTTCTTGTAATCACCGAAAACCTTGTTTGCTACTCTTTGTCTAGAGGCTGAAATATTCAAACAAATTTCAGCAAATGAAAGTAAAAATCTTACAGTACAGCAAACCCAAAGATCTCCTCTTGATATGGGAGAATAACCAATGGTAATAGGAGCCTAATTATTCCCTGTTTTCTCCCTATTATCATATGGTAATTTTTGAGGTCACTTTAAAGTTTGCTTTGAGCTTTTAGATTAAGTTTTCTATACCTCAGCATTTTATGAGCAGTCCTAGTACTTGAGACTACCTATGACTGTGTCAACTGACTTGCTAAATTCTGAGTGCTCTCCATTGCTGCTGATCAGTATTTAATCTCATGCTATTTTAACCCTCATTTTTTAGAAAAAGGTAGAATATGTGTTGTGTGTCAGTCTCTAGTAGGATTGCATTATAAATTAAGTCACTTTCAGGATGTTTCTTGACATCTGAAAGTAGATCCTTAGAATACTCACCACAGGAAAACATAGTTTGTGTATATATATATATATATATATATATATATGAGACTTTTTTTTTTTAAATTTGCAGGTTTCTTATGTGCTTGAACACTGAATGAGTGCAGCAGAAAATACCACTTTATAGCTCTCAACTGTGCAAATGTCTTTGTCCTCTGATTCTGCTCCTGTTTTTTAGATGCAGGATTATGTATGTTGTGTGACTCATTGCTGTTTTCCTATTCTGTGTCTGCAGCTTGCTCCTGCTTGATGCATTATGCTGTATTTGTTCTGTTTTATAATAAAGTGTTGTTTACAAAATATCTTTGTTAGTGTGTATGTAGAAAAAATGTATTTGTTGCACCTGAATCCACCCTGCTGAGCTCAGTCTTGTAAGGTCTTTCAGTTCATTCTAAATAGCTTATGCTCAATGCCAGAAAGGCCTTGGGCACAGAACATTTAGTAAACAGATGAGGAAAAGGTATGACCTTTAAAAAACTCCCCCAACCCTCACAAATTATTTAGTTTGAATGTTTTAGCAGTATACCCCTATGATTATTGTTAAAAAGATGCCAACTTCATAACCAGCGCTACTTTTAGATTTAAAAAAGGAACAAATATTTTTAAGGTACTGGAAGCAGTGCTTAGTTTTAACAGGCAAGATTTACATCTTGGAGTAGAGCCTTACAGACTTGGAGCAGGAGGCAGAGGAAACATGCAGGATCTTTAAGGAATATCTCTTGGGTTAGGTTTTAAGGTATTGGTACTGGATTCTCATGCTTGCCTTTTTAAGTATTGAAATATATGCAAATGAAATCTTCATCCACAGAGATTAGTAGTAATAGCAGTAGTAATAGCAGTTTATTAGTAAGTGGAATTTGAAGGACATAAGCCCTTCTGGTCAGGACCTTTCTATTCTCTTGAAGTGGTAGTAGTCTTACATAGCAAGGGGAAAGTCCTTTGCACCTAAACCTCCATTTTCTTTATGAACCAGGGACAGCTCTAGTATAAATAATACTGCTTTGAAATTTTTTGGAGTCTTACCCATATACATGAGATCTGATTTTTATGATCAAAAAGATCTATGTATCATCTTCAGAAATGTAACTTTGCAACCTCACTTACAGAGAAGTACTGTGAAGGCAAGAACCTTTGCAGTTTAAAAATAAACATCGAAGTACATGTTTGGTTTTAAATCTGAGAAATTGCTAACTTAAAATTACCATTCCAAGTAACTTAAAACAGATGTTGATATTACAAAAAGCTGTTTCTGCTAAAGCAAAATTTAGTGTTCAAAAAGGCGATTAAAATAACATTGGCAGTTATTCAGTGGAATAGATAATCTCAAATCAAAACCAAGGGAGCCAAATAAGTCTGACTGCCTAAGCAGAGTAATTGTCACACCCCTCCTGATTCTTCCATCTCACCTTTTCATTGGTTTGCTCTGAGCTTCATGAAGTATCTCTGCCTTTGCCACACTTCTCCTCAAATGCAGCAAGTATCCCCATTTTTCTGTTTTAAAAAACCAAAACCGAAACACCACCACATGCAGGGAGAAGCAAAAGTCTTTTCTTTTTCACGTCTATGCAAAACACCAGATGTGTGTACATAAGTGGAAAGGTGTGTGGGTGTGATCATGGGCTTGCATTTGTAACTTGCAGACAAAATCATAAAACTGTAGGTCTCAGAGTCCTATCCACAACCTGTTTCTGGAGCAAGTTAAAGTCTTTTGGGTGCAGAATGAGGTCTTCTGACCCTTCTTTTGCCTCAGCTCAGTTTTGATTTGCATATCACTTTCATGCTGGCGTCAGTTTTTTCTTGTCCATCAGGCTGACAAAATTGTCATTGTGGGTGCAGTTAAAAATAGATCATCTTTGTGCTTAGGTACACCAGGACCTCAGTGTGTAGCCTCACCCTCCTGTCAGTAAAGTTTTCCTGATATATGCTTGTCTCTGACACAGTCAAAAGTCTTCCCCAACTCTAATGTTGAATGATTTTCTCGGTATAACAGCCTGTGGTGTATGTGATGGGCTGGTCCTGAGCTCCAAGTTGTGTCACTTTAACAGTTGCAGGTTAGTTTGGAAAAAGAGATTTCATGCTTAAAAGTCAGTTTTCTAGAAATGGGAAACTTTTTTCTCCCCAAACTTCTAAGAGTAAGATACACTTCATAGTGTCATCATACAGGTTTATCTGACCAGACAAAGGAGAACTCAGATCTTAGTCAGCGCACAAGAACGTTTAAGTCAGAGAAGAGCTTTTAATAGGAAGTTTTGATTTGAATCTTGTTACCTTTGCATATCCTTTGTGCTGTCGTATCCAGCGTAATTTGTACAGGCTAAGCAATGTAAGTTTCTTCCTTCCCAGTCATTCTCACTCCCAGTTTTAGAGCTTCTCAGATCTATTCAAAGCAGATCATGAGAAGGACAAAACGTTCTGAGGTGTTTTGTTTTGCTTCTGCCCTAATTTGCTTGGTATCTATGCAACTTGTGCTGGACAAACCTCTTTACTGCTTAGAAGTTTCTGCATGCTGCCTGCCACCAAATCTCTGGGTTGCAGGTGTGCCTAAGTAGTAGGATGAGTAGAACTCTGTTTAAGTCCTCTTTTTATATTTTGTGTACTGTAACAGTAAAACAGGACTGACCCAAGCAGGAGACTGCATAAGTAACTGCTCTGAACAGTCCCTGGATAACCTGTCAGACTAAGATACCAGTATTTATTTTGCTAGAAACAGTGTGAAAGCATGAAACCTGAAGGTCATAAACCAAAGACTGGGATTTTAGAAGATTTGAAGAAACAAAAAAAAAGTGTAGTTTTGAATGTCATATATATTTTACATCAATTTAGTACTGTCTTCCCTTTTCCCCAGCTAAAGAACGTGCATTTCTATATGAAAAAGACCTTGAATTGGTCAAAGAACAAACTAAAATTATCCTGGTAAAAGTACAGTTTGACTGGGGACAATATTAGTAAAACTTGGCAAAACTGATTTTTCTTCATAGCTGCCAACCTTTTTTTTCTAGTACAATTGTTCATTATTTCACCAAACTAAATAAAACATTGACCCTCAGGTAATCCTAGTGAGCAAAATTCCCCTGTGATATAAGTGGCCCAACTCCTCCTGAAAGACAAGAGAAGTGAGCTGCACTGGTGCAACTCAGGGAGCAGCGCCTGCTGAGAGCGTCTGTTCAACAGTGTTTGCTGAAACTCCTGGTGTTCAACACAAAAGCCCTCGGGAGTCAGCTCAAGGACACAGTAGCATCATTTGTTTCCTATATGTGAGATTTTAGAGGGAAGGATGAAAGTTTGTGGATGGTTCCAGAAAGTAGAAAAATACATCATTAAATGAATCTTAGCAAGGGTAAAATCACTTTCCCTCATATTTTTATCTCAGTTTTACCACATAGAGGTGGTGAAGTCCTAGGTCTTATACCTCTGTGGGTTTTTAACTGTTTTGTATTTATAAGCTCTTGCTAGGCTTCTGGGTCTGTTCTTGTTTAAATTCTGAAGAAAATGTCAGCTTGGTATGCAGGCATTTAGATAGATTTAAATTTTATTGTTTTAAACTGAAAGCCAGCAGCGTGCCCAGGTGGCCAAGAAAATCAGTGGCATCCTGGCTTGTATCAGACATAGTGTGGCCAGTAGGACTAGGACAGTGGTCGTCCCTCTGTACTGGGTTCAGTTTTGAGCCCTTCACTGGGCTCAAAACTGGTTCTGGAACATGTGTAGAGAAGGACAGTGAAGCTGGTGAAGGGTCTGGAGCACAAGTCCTGTGAGGATCAGCTGAGGGAGCAGGAGTTGTTCAGCCTGGAGAAGTGGAGGTTTGGGGCATCTTATCACTCCCTACAACTACCTGAAAGGAAGTTGTAGACAGGTGGGGGTCAGTCTCTTCTCAGATGACAAGAGAAAACGGCCAAAGTTGCACCGGGGGAGGTTTAGATTGGATAGTAGGAAAAACTTTTTCACAGAAGCGATTGTTGAGCACTGGAACAGGCTCCTCAGGGAGTCACCATCCCTGGGAGTATTTAAAAGATACATAGATGTGGCACTGAGGAACATGGTTTAGGGTGGGTAATGGTGGGTTAATGTTGGGCTTAATGATCTTAAAGGACTTTTCCAACCTAAGCAATTCTGTGTTCCTCTGAAATTGTTAACAAATCATGTAGGTGATATGGCAGTATCTTCATTCTGCAACAAAAGATTTTCTCCCTGTGTCACTTATGCAAGTCCATCTTTTTTTTTTTTTTCTGAAGCCTTCCAGTAAATACTACAAACTCTTTTATCCTGTGTGTTTGGTCTGCTGTACTGTTTTCTGTTGAGTAACTCCTTGGTCCTGCCCCAGAGGCTGCTGTATTTACAACTCTCTCTTTCCAGGAGCATAACTTAACCCAGTGTAACTTTGAATGTTAAGGACTTCTTGGGATTGATCTTTCGCTAGAGTCTGTTCTAAAGTACAGTAATGATCACGCAAAAACGAGTCTTTGTGTAGTTGTATTGTTTAATTAATTGTAGGCTTTTGACCTCTCTACTGGAGGGAGGGTGTTTTCTTACCAGTTTCAGCTCTGACAAAGTAGAGATGCTACAACTGGGCATCATAATCTTGAAAGTGAGCATGTTCCATGGCCCTTGCAAATGTGTGGATCTTAATGTCTTTAGTTATTCTTTTATTTCTGTTTGTTTGTCAGCATGATATCTGGGGGTTTCCCTCTCCAGGATTAAAATGAACAGTTATTTTTTTCTTTTTCAGTGAAAAACACCCAACCCCCTCAAACTTCAATATCTCTCTTGAGTTCCAGTATGTACATGTGGTTTTGCTGAGAGATTAACCTCTTGAAGGGGATTTGGTGTTAACTGACTCATTGCCTCCTTATTTTCGTTCTGTCTGATAGTTGCCAACACATCCCACACTTTGCAAATCTAATCTTGATTCTATATCTTCATTATTTGTCAAATTAGAATCTTAAAGAAAAAAGAACTTATATTATTAATAGGCAAAGTATGTCAGAATCTACAAGTGCAATGTTTACTTTGTTGCTGGGTTTTTTTTAATTAAAGTTTACTGCACTGTGTTTATTGTTTGAAATCACAAATGTTTGGTTAGTTTTGTGTTGTTTCTTACTGAGATTTCAGCAAGACTTTCATCGCTACTTATGTTAGGAACAAAACTCCCTGAAAACAGAATGTTTTCATCTCATCTGGATTCATGTCAAATTTAGATGTGCCTGATGGTTGAGTATGAAAGGGGAAAAGTATTGGGCCACTAATAGTTACTGAATTTCCAAGCAAGTTACTTTCCTCAGTTCCCACACTTTCCTGTGTTCCTCCAAACTCTGTTGACTTCAGTCATTTCATGTTTGTGTTGGGTAATAGCCTGGAGAAGAGCACTGGCAGATATATAGTGTCACAGTTTGACATTAGTACGTCAAAATGCCTGGTTGTGCTGGTGTCTGAGTATAAAACAAACTAGACAGCACTTGCAGGAAGTTTTTAATCACTGCTTTCAGTTCCCCCCTTCCTTCCTTTCTCCTGCCTTTTCTTCACATTGGAACTGCTGTTAGATTTTTCATATTAAAATGCTGGGTTTTCCATATTTAACTATTTTAAAATTTAGGCTCAGTGGTACTGATTTTTCTGACTGCGCATTCTCTGAATCTCTGGCAGAAGTCCTGGAGGGGATTTGGGAGCGAAGAAGAAGAAAAAGAAGCAGAAGAGAAAAAAGGAGAAACCAAATTCTGGAGGCACCAAATCAGATTCCGCATCTGACTCCCAGGAGATTAAAATTCAACAGCCTTCAAAAGTGAGAGCCTGGTTCTGTTTTAATTTGTGCTTGCTTCCTAATTTAATTTTAATTCGCGCATTACTTGTTCTAAAAGCAAGGTGATAGTTCTGCCTTAACACGTCAGAATTGAGCAAATGGTTCCTGTCCTGAGCAGAAACAGAAGCTGGACAAGACCCAGTGTTTGCAGACTGTATGAAGTGAGCTGGAGAGCTGTTGTCACCACCATGGTGGTGAGCTGTGAGAAAGGCAGAGGAGGAGATGTTTTGTCTTTCTTTTCCAGCAGTTAGAACTCAGGCTAGTGACAGCCTCGTTGCATGCAGTCTTAATCTGCAGTAGTAGTGCTTTTAAATTTCGTGTTTGATGAATAGCCTTTACTTTAGCCACCATGGCTATACTTTAGACCTGGCTTAGTGAAATTTCGGTAACTTGTACGGCACAGTGCTGTCTCAGCAGCAGCAGCAGCAGCAGGAGGAAGGTGGACCTGCTGTGCCAGCCAGAGTCTTATTTGGACAAGTAAGCAGCATGTCAGTATATATAAAATGTGGTAATCTCAAACATGCAGATACAGGCTGAAGAAACGTTTTGCCATCTGAAAGGCCTCTGCTATAAATAAGAATGCAAAATTATCTGAGAGGATGCACAGTCCTTGTGGACTTTGTGGTAAAATATCATTGTCTATGTGCTTTTGTCTACCGTGTTCTGAATGAGCAGTGAATGACATGATTTGGTGTCTTTTTAGCATGCAGCTTTTATCTCAAGAGAAATCTGAGTTTGAGAACTGAAGTTTGTAAGACTAAAAAAGTTTATGGAGCACTGAGCATGTTGAAATAGTTCTATTTGCTTTATCAAGTTAATGTGTAGAGTGTTACACCATCGTACCAGTAGCAATCTTCATCCTGTAAGATTTGTCTGTGACATTGGGGCTACCAGCTAATTTTAGGGGGAAAAAGTTGTGTGGCTCATTAACATACTGGAAGATTCTTGTGTTGTCTCTAGATCTTCTCTGTGTCCCCCTGATTACTCTGAATAGACACATTTGGCACAGGGGACACTTTAAATATGTATAGATCTGATTTTGCTGCATGTTTTGGACAACTATCCTGCTTTAGATTTTTTTGAAAGAATTGTAGACTGCTGATCTGGCTCAGTGTAGAAAAGTATTTTTTTTTTCTCTGCTACTTAAGTAATATTTAGATTTTGTATTCCTTCTGCTATGTGAAATATAGGGAAAAAAGGCTTGTAGCATTTGCTTGCTCTTGGTTGAAAAGAGCTTTAGAAAATATTTCAGAGAAAAGTGACATTGTACACCTACCTCTAAGAGAATATATACAGGATCATCATGTAATACTCAGTGGGGCTCCTGAACTCATTGAAAATGATTTTGAAAAAAGATTTTGAGGTCATGTGAGTTTGTAAACGGGTGTATCTATTTGGACATTAGGAAAACAGAACAGTGAGTCTCCTTGGCTTCTCCCTTTCTTATGTGTGATATTAGACATTTTGAGCACTGATGTGAGTGTAACCACAGCAATAAATGCTTGTTGTTAGCACTGTATGTTTACAGTGAGGACACTTCACTGCCCATCTCAAAAGATTTTGATCACTCTCTATTTATTACAAGTACCAGTGATGTGGATTCTCCACACTGACACGAAGGAAGCTTGCCATATCTGCGATGTTATCAGTCATTATTTTAGTCACCAGTGGCCTAAACAACATAGTCCTGAAATAACAGGTTGGAAGGGACATATGGAGGTCTTTCAACTGACCTCCTGCTTAGAGCAGATCCAGCTAGATGAGGTTGTTCAGGCCTAGATCAGTCAGTTTAGTCTCCAAGGAGACTCAACAACCTTTTTTGGAAACCTGTTCCAGTGTTTGACTACACTTTTGGTTGAAAAAAATAGTAATTCCTTGTATCTAAATGGATTTTGCATTTTTGCAACTTGTCTCCATTGTTTCTTGTCCTATCATTATGCTCCTCTGAAAAGATTTGGCTCAGCTTTCTTTACATCCTTCCATTAGGCAGTAATAAGATTTCTCTTACTTCCTCAATCTTCTCTTCTTAAGGTTGAACAAACCAAGGTCTCTTGTCTTCTTGTGTGTCATGTGCTTCAGCCCCCCATTAATCTTGGTGGCCCTCAAATGAACACTCTACACTCTGTCAATGTTTTCCTTGTAATGGGGAACATTTTCTTTTAATGGAAACTGTAAGATGAGACCTAAGGGGTGCCAATAAAGAGGAAACCTTGCTGCCCAGTCTTTCAGGTACGACTCACTATTCAGCTGTCCTTTCCTGGCCAGCAGATTGCTGGCTCATGTTCAGCCCTTTGCCCACCAGGACCTCCAGGTTCTTTTCTGCAAAGCTGCTACCTAGCCAGTCCTCTGCCATTCCATGAGCTTTTTCTATCCCAGATGGAGGACTTTGCATTTGCCTTTGTCAAAATTAATTAAGTTTCTGTTTCCAGCCTGTCAGAGTAACTTTGAATAGCAGCTCTGTGGTCCAGTGTATCAACATTCTTGCCAAGCAGGTATCATCTGTGTACTTGCAGAGAAAGCGCTCTTTGTCATGTCATTAAATAGTATTGACCTCTACATCCTCAAAATCCTTCCCCTTGCCTTCTTGAAAATGGGTGTTTCCTTTTTTCCATTTGTAGGAAACCTCCACCACTTGCTATAACCTTTAGCTCTTGACACATGTTAGTTGCACTAACATCAGACAGCTCCCTCAGCACCCTCACCTGCATCTGGCCTGTTTTGGGGGACCTGGCATGATTTGTTTGCTAAATGGTCCCTAACTTTCTCTCCTGCTGTGGTTAATGGAAGTCTCACAGACTCTGCTACAGGGCTGGGGGACATCAAAGGCCTGAGGTCACATCTTGCCACCAAAAGTGAGGCAAAAACGTCATTGTGTACTTCAGCCGTGTTGCACAACAGTGCCGTTTTGTGCTATGAGGAGATATTTGTCCTAAACTGAAATTACACAAAATAACTCTTTTTTTTGCTAATTCATGTCAAGTTCTGTGTAGGTTTTTCTTGCTTTCCATTAAAGGAAAACAAAAAGGGTTGAAAGTAAACTTCTTAGCCAGGCTGATCCCTGAACGTTTTAAACAAAAAGGGGATTCCTCCTGATGTCCCTAACAGTGTTGTATTTAGTACCAGAACATGAACTTCTTACTTTACTATTATGCTGGTGCAATCTTTCTTAGAACCTAATATTTTAATTTTTTTTCAATTTCCTGTTTTCTTAATGTAGAAAAAAGAAATCAATTACAGTGTGTCAACATTTATGTGTGACTTCATAAGGTATTAATAAGATTTCAGAATTTATCTAGTGGCATTAGAAGTATTTGTGTCAGGTCAGTGTATAACAGACAAATTGATTTTTAATTGGGAAAAGTAACTTATGTCTCTGTAGTCTGGATATAGAAATACAGTAGGCTTTTCATGCTGCAGCAGTGTTGCTCTAAACTATGTTAGTATGTTAATTCACAAATACTCAGGTGACAGGTGTTTAAAGCATGCTTACAGGTAAAATTTTGCAATACTTAAACATTATGCATTTTCTTTCATTACTTTAAGTAAATTAAGATTTTATTATAAATAGTAAATGATGGACTGCTTGAGCTCCAGGCACAGACTGCTTTTGTGACAAAGGATACTAGAGGCAGATGTCCACCCAAACGAAGCTTTACTGTCATTATTACATTTAATTTATGGTGGTTTTTCAACACATGAATACTAGAAAGAAATATGGAAATAGCAATCCATTGCTATTCAGTAAAAAAAAAATCTGGCTTGAAATCTCTATGCAGAATTGCTTAGAATTTCCCAATGGACTTGAGACTATTCCTTCAAATGCATTATTGCACTGCAGTGTTGGGAAACTGAGCCCAAGCATTCTGTTAGTATACCTCAGAATAGGACTTACCACTTGGCAGATAACAAAACACAACGAGTAAATAGCTTTTAAAAGAGGGGAGAAAATCCCTGTAGATTTAAATGTCTGTTACCATTATTCTTCTGCACTTTCTTATGCAGGTAAAATTCTCATTCCAGTTGCAGTTAGTCAGAGTGATCAAAAGTGAGGGTTTAACAGCTTAGTTTACAAACACTTAGTCTTAGGTTTATGCTTTTCAGATAACTTTTCTATAAAGATTTTTCAACTTCTAAGTGGAAAGTTGGTTTATTTTATGTTTGTCAGTTAAAATGAGAGTGATTGGGAGTGTTGGCACACTTGACATTAGTGGCAAGATGGTTAACTCCTACACATATGATGTGGAAAGTTATCTAATAATTGCAAGGTAATAAAGGCAGATGCGATATAACTAAGGTTAAAACGTGGCACTCCAGTGTACTTGGGTACTACTGAGCCATAGTGAATTTAAATATTATTTTATATTGTATGTGTAAACTACAACTTCAAACGGCTCCATGTGTTCCAACGGTATCTTTAGATTTTTGTATATCTAAGCTGACCTGCTGCTTTTTGTTTTATTGTATTTTACTAGAGGGAACAGGGACTATAAGAAGCTCTTACTATTGTGATACTGTGTCCTGTCTTGATGCTGCAGTATTTGTGTTAAAAATGCTGAAGTTTCATGGTTAAATGCAAGTGCTACTCAAGACTGTTAACTATTTTGTGAAGTTGCTTGCTATTGCCCACCTTTTTTCCACCCTCCTGTCTCCAAGGATTATACCCAAACTAAGCATGATGAGAATACATGAAAGAATACATAAAAGTAAAAAAAATTAACAAGTTTTTACAGTTATTCAAAGTAAACATGCTCAGTAATCTTCCTCTTCTGTTTGTCTATGTGTGCAGAATCCAGCCATTCCAATGCAGAAACTTCAAGACATCCAGAGGGCAATGGAGCTGCTCTCTGCATGCCAAGGCCCAGCAAAGAATATTGATGAGGCTACCAAACGTAAATACCAGTTTTGGGATACACAACCTGTACCTAAACTTAGTAAGTTTAACGGGATCTGGGCAAAAGATCTGTCTTATGACCACTGAGGGAATGTGTGTGCCAGCTCTGTGGCGTGTTCTCTAAAATGGGTATTAAGTTGGACTGTGTGTGGTAGAGATCCTTAGTCTTTTGTATAGTTTATGTGGAATTCTTGATGTTTTCTAGGAAAGTGCTTGCCTCTCCTCCAGATAATTTACAACAAGATACAGTGTTAATAAATCTCATTCTGATGTTCTCTATAAAAATTGGAAATGCTATTGATATAGCATTTCTTTGTGTATTTTAGGTCTGAACTCTTGAACAATAGAACCTAGAGGTCTTTTCCACTTAAAGGGAAGTAAGAACTCTTTAAGTGGTGACTAAGTGTAAATTTAGATTTTTTTTTAATTTGTTTGTTAAATTCTTTTCAACAGACAGATTTGCTGTCAGAGAAATAATGACTCTCCTGCTGTAGGTTACACTGGTTTCATACAGCTTTAAGTGGATAATGGCACTTTTCTCGTGTGCAAACTCTTTCACTGCTGTGTGTTCATGTTCTCCACAATGTACCCTGCCTCAAGGACGTGCTTTCTCAGAGTCTGTTCTCTGTTCTTGATACCAGGTGAAATGGTGAGGTGACCTCTCCTTGCCTTTACATTTCTAATGAATTTGGAAAGTTACTTTTTATACTGATCTGATCCCTGATAACACAGTTGGTATATCTTAGTCTTTGTTGAAAAAAGATAGTTGCTCTAGTTGCTGGCTGTCTTGTTTTTTCTGCATTGCTTTCTGACTCTTCTTTTTCTGCTTTCGTTATCTTCAAGTTAAGCACTTGTAGCTTTTCAGTGCCCACAAAACATGGGGGCCTCAGAAGTAAAACATTCTCAGCACAGTAGCTGTCATTGTTTGTCCTTCAGGTTTCTCTCCATTGCATTGGAGACTGGTATAGAATAAGCAGAAGTAGGGTAGAGTGTAAAGCATGGTAGGATGCTGCTCTCTCTCTCCACAGGACAGAATTTCACATTAATCCATGTCTACAGCTTAATCCACAGTGATCTCATTTCTTCACAACTTTGATGTGTAGAGAAGTCCAGAGCAGAATCCCTACATACTGTATTTTCCCCTGGATTGAACTGACCTGCCATGGCTTTTTTCCATACAAACTATCCAGATACCTTTGTAAACTGATGGTAGTAATTGTGACCAGCAATCCTACAAAGTAGAGAAGACCTTAGCTGAAATAAGTTGATGTGTAAATCAAAAAATACTCTGGCCATAATGAAGCTTTTTCAGGCTAGTTCAGGTGTCTGCACAGTACTTCCAAGAGTTCAGTTCAGGTTAATCAATATGTCTTACAGCACTTGCATAGAGACGAGAGTCTGCCAATTGTCAGCCTAAAAACATCAATACATTGGCTTAGAAAATTATTTATTAGTGTTGTTCAGGAGAAATATGCTTTGTAAAATTTGGTTAGCAAGGTTTTGTCCAACAGTGCCTATGAATTTCTTCTTAATCCCATAGATTATTTTTTTTTAAGCTTTTCCTTTATCTGCTGAATGAACAGATGGGGAATTCATCGTTATTCGATGTGCTCTGTGTGTTTAGGTGGAAAAAATAATCTGTCAATTCAAGAAATAGTTGTAGGGATCTTTGCATTAAATTAACTTCGGAATCCTTCTGTCTTCAAGCTGAGATTGTTAGCAATGGGTCCTTTAGTTAGGCCAAGCCTGCCATGTAGTGGCAGTAACATTGGGGCTGTTGGTACTTTTCAGAGTTTGCTTAAAGGTGCTAATAATGGTGACCTTCCGAGCTGGATGGCAAGCCATAACTATTTGTCAGGAATGTGCATCATTTGGGAAAAATTCGTACTACTAAGTAATATTTGACTCTCAAGAGCCTGATGATTGTTATGATAGGATTGAGTGTTTACGGGTGAGAATCAGGGGGAAGGCCAACAGGGCAGATACCATGATGGGAGTCTGTTATAGAGCTCCTAACCAGGATGAAGAGGCAGATGAAATATTATGTAAGCAGCTGGGAGAAGTCTCACAGTTGCTGACCCTTGTTCTTATGGGTGACTTCAACTTACCAGGTGTCTTCTAGAAATACAATACAGTGGAGAGGAGACAGTCTAGGAGGTTCCTGAAGTGTGTGGAAGATAACTTTTGACACAGTTGGTGAGTGAGCCAACTAGGGAAGGTGCTCTGCTGGACCTGTTGTTCATGAAAAGACAGGACTTTTGGGTGATGTGATGGTTGGAGGCTGTCTTGGGCACAGTGACTGTGAAATCAGAGAGTTTCCGATTCTTGCAGAAGTAAGGAGGGGGTCAGGAGAACTGCCACCTTGGACTGGAGGGCAGACTTTGTCCTGTTTAGGAGCCAGGTTGGCGGAGTCCCTTGGTAGGCAGTCCTGAAGGGTGAAGATGTCCAGGAAAGCTGGATGTGCTTTAGAAGGAAAACTTAAAGATGCAGGAATAGGCTGTCCCCATGTGTCAAAAGATGAGCTGAAGGGGAGGAAGACAGGCCTGGCTGAATAGAGAACTTCAGCTGGAACTGAAGTTGCAAATCAGTAATTTGGGCCACTTAAAGAATCACCATCAAAGATATCAGCAAAAAGCAGGTTTTAATATAAATTTGTGGAAGTGCAATTTAACAGAAAGTTCGATGGCAACATTCACTCTATTACTTACTACATAGATGAAGCATACATAGGAAAATGGAATTAGAAGCAATTTAGAATGATTTACGTGGAGGCTGGGGATGCAGAGGGGTCAGGGTGCCAAGGATATGGGTGCAAAAAGATAAGGGTGCAAAGGAGTGTAGCAGTACTCTAATCATTGACTAATTTAACATTTATGAAGTGATTCAGTAGGATACTACTATTATAACAATGCCTTAATTATAGATTCTACATAACAACATTGATACTATACTCAATTCACACACATTGCATGCAGGCACAGAGATGTAGACGTGTTTAGGTATGCAAAGGTATCTGTTAAAAATTCCCCTGCAGTTCAGTGACATACTCACATCAAGTCCATTTCCATTTGTCAGCAGGAAGGGTTGAGCCTCGAGGAGCGGGGGTGTCAGCTTGAGGTGGTGTTGAGGCCTTGACCTCAGCAACAGTCTTTGGAATATCGCAGACTTGGGGTTTACAAGCTCTGAGAGGCTTCCCACCCAGAGGGAGGTGCTGGTGCAGCCCCCTGTGGTCCAGGACAGCTTAAAGGGCCTCACTTAGGGCCCCTCTTCATGGGGTTGCAAGGTGACTGGCTTTAGTCATCAGTAAGTTTCCATCCTGGCCATAACCCACATTGGTAACTGCTTTTTTGGGGGAAAAAAAAGGTCCAGTAGCAGTGGTACCATTTCACTTTGGCTACAGTTCAGGTAAATAGTGTTCCAAGGCTGTCAGGGGGTAACTGATTATGTGGGGATAAATGATTATCCTTTGTTCCCCACCTTGTTCAGGCAGTGGATGATCCTGATACAGTCGGTGTCGCTCCCACCTTTACTATGCCGGAGCTTCTGTTATGGTCAAGGGATGTTTCACAGCCCAACTTTGGTAGTTTGGTCAAGGCTTATCAGGAACTCCTGAGATTGTAGAGCAGGCCCAAGGAGGGATGGGGCACACGCACCACCAGAGGAATTCAAGAAAGAGAATGATGGTTTATGGCCTTTGGAGGAGGGGCTGACAACTCAGGAGGCCTGTAGGGATGCTGTGAGGTAATGCAGGGAGAAAATCAGAAGGTCCAAAGCCCTTAGAACATAATCTGGCTACTGCCATAAAAGACAGTGCTACAAGAAAGATATTGAGTTGCTGGAGTGTGGCCAGAGAAAGGCAACAAAGCTTTTGAAGGGTCTGGAGCACAAGTCTTAATGAGGAGCAATTGAGGTTGTTTAGCCTGGAGTAAAAGAGGCTTGGGGGGACCTTATTGCTCTCTACAAGTACCTGAAAGAGATTGTAGCAAGGTGGGGGTCAGCCTCTTCTCCCAGATAACAAGCGATAGAACAACAGGAAACGGCCTTGGGTTGTGCCAGGGGAGATTTAGATTGGATGTTAGGAAAAATGTCTTTACTGAAGGGGTTGCAGAGCATTGGAAAATGCTCCCCAGGGAAGTGGTAGAGTCACCAGCCTGGAGGATTTGAAAAGATATGTAGATATGATGGTTTAGTGGCAGGCTTGGCAGTGTAAGGTTAGTGTTTAGATTATGATCTTAAAAGTCTTTTCCAGCCTAAATGATTCTATGGTTTAGCATGTGCTGCTCCATAGAAGAGGAACAGCAGCTGTCAATAGCTGTACACTGAGGGACCGGAGTTGTAAAGTAAGGGAGGAGAAGAAAGCATGCCTTCATGTAGGATTTTAGGAACACTTCTCACGTATCAGCAGTATCTTTTAAATGCCCTGGCTTTGCTGTGCCACTGCTCCTGAGTAATCCCGTTGAGATCAGGTCTGTTCAAGTCGGTGGTAAACAAGATCTGAGCTTGTTAGATGTGAGTACAACATGTCTCTCATAATGAGACTGTGGATCTCGTGGCTTGCTAAATGCTGTGCATGTGCTGATAAGTTGTCCTGTGTTATGAAATAGTGGGTATCAGTTGAGGTAGAGTGGTTCTGTGCATATCTATAAATATTCTGACAAGACAGTCATTGGTCTGAATGTGATCTGTAAGAATGAAAAGTAGTGTAAACTAATAATACTAATTTTTTCACCATTTTTTAAAAGCTTCATGTTCCTATCACATAATTATGAGAAAATACATGATGTGAATTAAATGCAATTTAGAGAACTATCAGGAAAACTAGCAATATAACAGTTTTTTGGGTTTTTTTTTTCCCCCCTCCTCCATCAAAAGATGAAGTTATAACCTCACATGGTGCAATTGAACCAGATAAGGACAATGTCCGCCTAGAGCCATATTCTTTGCCACAAGGTTTTATGTGGGACACATTGGATCTTAGCAATGCCGAAGTTGTAAGTAAAACGATTTTTATATGTATCTAAAATAATTCAAGTTTATTCTCATTGATGCATGGATAAATCTTTGTATTTTTTTGTGTGTGTTTTCAGCTGAAGGAGTTATACACACTGTTAAATGAGAATTACGTAGAAGATGATGATAATATGTTTAGGTTTGATTATTCGCCTGAATTTCTTCTGTGGTGAGTAGCAAGTTCCACATTCTGTTCTGCCTGAAGTGCAAAGAAAGGTGTTTTTATTACATCTTCTTAGGCAGTAATTTGTAATTATTTCTGTCATCAATTCTAGGGCCTTACGTCCTCCAGGCTGGTTACCCCAGTGGCACTGTGGGGTTAGAGTGTCTTCAAACAAAAAACTGGTAGGATTCATAAGTGCCATCCCTGCAAGTATTCGTATATATGACAGGTAAAATGCACCATTAGTTTTGTGTTTGTAAAAGAATAATGCCACAAAACAAATCTTCAACTGCTGTCCATTGCTATAGAAAACTTAAAAAGAGAGAAGGAGGCTCACTGATCATAAAGAGTCAGAAGAATCCTGTGTATGTAGCAACTTTTTTTTTTTTTACTCTTCTCACCACTTCCCCTTCTTCCTCCCTTAAAAAAAAAACAAACTTGTGAGCTCATTGCATGAAGACTATTAATAAATATATAAGGAATTTTCTTACTGATGAATTATACAGATATTGGCATACAATTTTCTGACCACACTGGAAAGTATTTAAAGGATAGTCAATCAGCTAGTCTTCTTGGACAGGTGTTTGTACGCTGACAAACATAAAGCATAATGGTACCACGTAACATGTGCTTGGATGCCCTTCTGCATCCTAAAGTAAGGCAATTGGTTGAGTCTTGATAGAATAGAGCTTTGAAAAAGGACTATAGCAAACACGTTAGACTTAACTTGCATATTGCACAATTTGCCATTACAGTCACAGTATCATAGAGTAGTATTTGTTGCAGATGTACTTTGTCACAGGCCAATTTATTCTTACTTCAAATTCTTCTGTCAAATATGGGAAACTGTAATTATGCAAATGAAAACATGCACTGTGTAACTTTCTTTAATTTTTCCTCTATTTCTTGTCCTTTTAGTGTGAAGAAAATGGTAGAAATCAATTTTCTGTGTGTCCATAAGAAACTGAGATCTAAACGGGTAGCACCTGTACTAATTCGGGAAATAACCAGAAGAGTAAACCTGGAAGGAATTTTTCAAGCTGTTTACACTGCTGGAGTGGTACTTCCCAAACCTGTGGCCACTTGCAGGTAACCTAGGTGATGCTCATAATAACATTGGTTCCTACAGCAGTCATTTTAAAGAAAATTTAATGTAATTGCCTAGAAACAATAAAAGCATAAAATTCAAAGTTATTAAATGTTGTGGCCTTGACTAACCTGAAGGCCTGAATGTTTGTCAGGGTTGGTTTTTTTGATTTCCAACCCCCCCTTGCCTTGGATAAAACAGCTTCTCAGACTAAAATTTAATTTTGGGTTTGTTAGCACACCTTAAATAGACTAATCAATATTTCTGTTGACCTTGTGGTGAAAGCCATGCTAGCATTGACAACGTTGTATACCTGTGTTTTTTCAAGTGGCCTGTTTCCCTGCTGGGACACTTCCCTGTTGACCTGGTTGCTTGCCAGAGATGGCAGAGCATTTCTGGGAATTGTATGATTTGCTTTTTTGAGATACTTTCATCTTTCCTGGAGAAAGGAGGTCTTGATCGGCATTTGATAAAGATGGGACAACTGCCATGTGGGAAGAGTTACAACCAAGTATAATTTTGTTTGCTTGGAGTGGATTATATTTCTACTAGGAAAGGTTCAGTTCCTGCAGTTTTAGTCCAGCTGTCTAGCATTCTGGAGGACAGAGTAGTTTTTGATTTGAAATTGTTTTGTACCTACCAACAGCAAAGATCCTGTAAGTTTCTGTAAGGAAGGATGGGGGGGAAAAAAGCCATGCTGTGTTAGTAACAGAGTAACAGTGATCTGTTGCTCAGTGATCTCCCAGGAAGGGGAGATCTTCAACAAAAGGCTTAGACATGAGCAGAGCGTCCTGTCTGCACAAGAAAATAAATGTTATCCATGTAAGTATGGTGAGTTTTTCAGAGCTATGATAAGTACTAAAATGTTTAACTCTGTGCTCACTCATTCTGTATCAAAAAGCAATTGCTTAAATTCAAAATACTGTGATAGCAGGCCTGTTTAAAAGCTATTGCTTGGATATAGCTTTTCCTTAATTTTTTTGTTGCTTAAGCTTCTTACAGACATCATACAGGCTTGCTTAGAAACAAATTTGGAGGAAAGGAGCAATGCAGTAAAGCAGGGAAATGGATGCAAGTAAAGCTGACACTTAAAATAGTATTTAAACTCATTATTAATTTTATTTCCAGGTATTGGCATCGATCACTAAATCCCAGAAAATTGGTGGAGGTGAAATTTTCACATTTGAGTAGAAACATGACTCTACAAAGAACAATGAAGCTCTACAGACTTCCTGATGTAAGCAGTATGACTTCTAGAGAATCCCCACAGTTACTGTGAAGCCTAAAATAACCTTCCATCTGTCTCTGACAGCACAGGCTTTTCTGTGTAAAGGCTGTGTGTGCAGGACATTAAAATAATAATCTCTGGTTGATGAAAAAGACATTAAGGGCTATACTAAACAGAGGAGGCTATTGCTGGAAATCTTGATCTCTGTATGGAGAAAACATAAATTTTGACCTAAAATCCTTAAACAAAGGAAAAAAACCCAGAAACCTTGACTTCATAAACATGTGGGATTGAGTTGAAGATGCATAAGACTATTTTCAGTATGTTTAATCTGTTAAGAGATTACTGGTACAGAAAATCAGCAGTTCATGTCTTAAAATTCTCAGAGAAGTCCATCAGCAAGTTGGCTGAGTACAGTCATATTCTTGATTCCACTCTAATTCACATCCTTTTCTGTTCAGTCAGAGAATGTTGTTCTTTGCAATGAGCAGGCTCAGCAAAAGCCACCTCAGTATGTTGTGTACTGTTTGTTTGCACGGTCTAGTAAAAAACAAGTGTTCTAGCATAGCTAGGTTAGTTAAAAATATTTTTTCTCATGTTTGCAGCTAATAGTTAAGCTTGCAAAAAGCCTTAGGGTGCAATTTCCATGACAGGGCAAGTCAGTATAAGTACTATGTACTATTAAAAAATCTCACTGCTGTCATTAATAGCCTACAGAAGTCAGTCTGAGCTTTATGGTGAAAATAATTTCTTTGCTTGTAAAAGCCACCTTTCAATTCGAAGGGATTGCAGAGTATACTTTACCCATACCTTATCAGTAGACCTTTTTTTATTAAAACAAACCTATTCTTTTGAGTTAAAAATACATGTTTTCCCTCACTCGTAGTACTTTGTAATAATTTCTCTGATTTTGGAGAATTGTGTCTTGTTAGCTTGATGCTGCAGATTCTCCTACTGCTGAAATATTTGAGTGGTACACTGAGCACTCCTTGGAATAAAGCACGTGCCATGGTTTGATCTGTGCTCCTGCTGCTGTCGGAGAGACTCGTTTCCTGCACTGCCTGCGTGCCAACTGTGCTGCACACGCAGCTTCTCCCTTGCGTGCAGGGCAGCAGTTTTCAGAGCTTAAGAATTAATAACCAAATTAATTAGGTTTTAATCTTGGAAAGCTAAATATAGCTTCCATCCAATCTTGAAGACATTTTTAAAAGTCTGAAAAAGTGCAGTATACAATTTCAAATACAGGTTTTGGTGGCAACTCTAGTAACATTTCTCATGGAAACAATTCAGGAAGCGAATAGTTTAAAGAATAAAGATCGATCTTACAGTACCAAAACTACAGAGAGTCATTAGAAACAGCATTTATACCCTGATCATCTTCCTTTAGCATAAAACCCAGTTTCAACAGAAAAGTGAATTATGGAAAACCAATAATACATCATATCTCATTACTATAGGTAAGGCAAACATATACTTTACACAGAAGTGCAAATAGAAAATGGGTGCTTTCAAAATCAGCTTTTAAAACTAAATGATGTAGGAATCCATATACCTCAGTTATTTATTTTTAGTCTGGATTTGGGAACTTCTCCCATAGAAAATGAAGATTTAATCTTTGTGCTAATATTTTCTCTCTAAGTCTTGTGCTTTGGGTTTATTTGGATGTTGTTTTTTTCCCCGAGAAAGGGTTTAAGTGCTGTTGAGAATCTTTTTTCTGAGTCTCAGGCTGTTATCATAAACAGGACTGTCACACAAATTTGACAATTCAGGCCATGCTATCCTGTCCCTCAGCACCAAACACTGTTTCTTGCATTTTAACCTCTTTTCTTAGTGTCCTTGGAATATCATTGCCACTGGGAGCTCATCTCCCTTTAAGAGAATTAATCATTCCTAATCACTTGAACAGCCTGAATTAAAAAGGTTTTCAGATATAATAAGTACTGTAATTAATAAATACTACCCTCGCTAAAGGCTGTGCACATACCTTTAGATACAAAAAGTAAAAGGTTTTTTTTTTCTAAGTGTTTAATGTCTTGAGAAAGGAGTTTTCTGAAAGAGGTAGATTTTGTCTGTATTTAGAGTAAGGAGAGGAGCATGTTTGTATGTCTTTTCCTGGCTGACTGAGATCCTGACACTGGATAGTCGCATGAATGTGTGGCCAGTGCAGCTTGATATGTGAAGCAGAGAAACAAATTTTAGCCCAGTTCTGTACACTTTCTCTCATTTCTGGGGTTGCAAATGATCATTTACTGGTGGACATTCTGAGCATTGCTGGGAGAAAAAGATGTTCCAGCCCAGCTCTTTTTCCTCCATCCTTTCTGTTAGTCAGGTGTACACTCTTATGGAATAAAGGCATTTTAAAATATAGGTGATGTGCTGTTGTGGAGTCAAACCATAGTCCCAGGCTGCTCAGAAAAGCAGGAAGACTAAACACAGTCCAGAGCTGCAGCAAAATGTGCCTTGATTTCTCATCTGGCTGCTGACTCCCGGAGTGCATCAATAATACCTCCCCCAGAATAATGCCTTTTGGCCAAAGCCTAATCAGCTACACTAATTTCAGGCTTCCAGTAATCAAGTCTCTACCTGGCTGCTCTTGCAATTGACTTTGCTATGATTAATGTGATACGTGCCCAAGTATGTAGCTCAGGCAGATGAAGCAGGATAAATGAGCTCTGAAGAGAACAAGTGTTAGCCTCCCTAAAAGGAAAGAGTCAGGAAAGCAAACAAAAGCTTGCAAGAAATTTTTAATCACCTTCGCTTGTTTAAATTAATTGCATAGTACTAGAAGGCAATTTTTTTCTCTTCTGATGTTTAAAGTAAAAAAACAAAACCTGTTTAAGTACTGTAGGTTTTTCATTTCGGGCAGCTGTAAGTTATGAGAAGCTTTCTTGTTAACAGAATAGCAGTTGTGCCTAACTTGGGTTAGCAAGGGAGTTTGCAAATGCTAAGAATAGGTAGTAGTACACTAAGCAGTCCTTGGGATCTTTTTTGTTAAATAATTTCTAATTAAACTTTATCAGCTGATTTTGATGTATAGTTTGACTGTAAGTTTGAATTGCTTGTGTTCTTGTCTACAGATTAACTTCTGATGCACAAGTTACATTGTTTTGTTTCTGTGTCTGGGCCCTAGGTAGTTTACAAGAAAGTAAGAAATAAACTGACCTAAAAAAAAAAAACACAAACTGCACAAAGTCTAAACTGTTGGCAATGGTATGTCTTTCTCTGGAGAAATGAAGCTCTTTCAATAATGAAATATAAAGATTGAAGTGCCCCAGACTGTTTCAATAATTAGAAGAGAGGGAATTCTGATTGAAAGCCATTTGTAAAATAGCATAATGAATTAGGTGGCTGGGATGAAGTAGACTAATAATGAATGCATTATAGCAAGTGTAGTGACTCTGCAACCTACTTTCAGCCTTTGCTGTGTTTGCAGTTTTCCTTTCAACATCTTAACATGTATTTTTCTTTTGTTACAATAAGGCCACAAAGACTTCAGGTTTGAGACCAATGGAACAAAAAGATACTAAAGCAGTACAAGAATTAATCAACACTTACTTGAAACAGTTTAATCTTGCTCCTGTGATGGATGAAGAAGAAGTAGCCCACTGGTTCCTGCCTCGGGATCATATTATTGACACTTACGTGGTGGAGGTAAAATACGCCCTCACGGATATGAATGTATATGTGAATGCCTCTTACAATAGTTCATATCAGCATCAAGTTTTTGAAATGTGGGCAGTATGAAAAATGTGTGGTATAGGTAGAATTTGATACCATGATTACAGGTTTTGTTCTTTTTATTGCATTCTGTTAACAAAAAAAAGTTTGGTTGTGATACATTGCAGTGCTCTTATAATAGGATATCTTAAAGAATTCTGAAATATCACTAGAAAAAAAGGAAGAATGATGCAGTGACTGAGATAAGGATTTGGTTTGAATTGACTGTCATTCTCTCAGGTGTAAATGTTTCTGCCATACACCAGTAAAAAACTCTTTAAACCAAATTTTAGATGCACCTGCTGGGAAAATTATGGTTTTTGATGATCTGCTTCAGTAAAATGTGGGGTTTTTTCAATAAATGTATGTATATATATGTTTGAATTTCTGTATATATATAGTATATATCTACATATAAAATATATATGCACCTACCACCTCCACCTTCCAAATGGTTGGTGCTAATGCTCCTCTCAAAATAAGCAAATGCAGGAAAAGATGAGCATTTGGAATGGGTGCAATAAAGCTAGTGGAGAAAGATATGCTCTTCCCTTTGAGTCCATACAAAATCAGTTACAGACATCATATTTAGATAGTGTATTACTTTGTTTAAAGTAATAATGTTATTTAAAAATGATCAGCATAACATCCTTAAACCTACCAGCTCCTCATAGAAGCTGCAGGTTGTGAAGCTCAGTGTTCCCACACTGCAGCCTGAATTTGTGCAGGACCCTCAGCTGAGTTAGGAACCTTAGTGCTGCTGGAGATGAGTGGTCCTGCTCAGCAGTTGTCATTGTCCAAGCTTGGCTTTCTACTTACTTTTTAGTGGGTCTAGTGCTCATTGGCCTTTTCCATTTTCTCATTTATAGTCCCTCCCTTTTCCACACCTTCTCCCTGCCCTCCGCCCTGCTCCCTGGGTTGGCTTTTGGCTTTGTTTGTGACTTGAAACCTGCAGGAGAGCCCAGAAGCACCAGGATCAGCATGAATGTCACACTGGCAGTGCCATTCTAACTGAACAGCAGAGTCTTTAGTTGCTTGTTTTACACTATCTCTTGAACTAGTTTTTCACTATAGAAAATGGAAGTTTTTTAATGCTGGAGATTGTAACCTGGAGATGTTAGTGTCAGACTTTTAAATCATCTTTGTAATGTGCAGAGCTAAAACCTTAAAATACTCTGTATAATTTCTGAGTTAACATTTTCATCATCCTTACTGAATTCAGTGAGTGACTTAATAACTTTTCTGTTACTCTCTACTACAGGATCCGTACCTGCTCTAAGACAAATAGCTTTTCTGCATGTGATAGGTTCAACTGTTTTACTTTTTACTGTAGCAGTACAGTTAATTTAAGGATCCATGTGAGGTCCTTCATTGAGCACTAAATAGTGAGCACTAGTCATTCAAAAATAAACAAGCAATAACGAGCATTTGTGTGTCTCCTTTGCCTTATCTTCTTGGAAATAGCAGGAGAGAAAATCTGGGTAATTTTTTTACCCATGTTATAATTATTTCCCATTTCCTGCTAATCTATGCTCTTGGAGATGGTTAAATTTCCTTAGGTGCGTGAAATATTAAGAAGTTTTATGTAGTATATTTTAAATTTCTGTACAAGCACCTTTTTTTGATGACTGTTGGTTTTATTAAAATTTCAGTGTGATTTAGCACTGTTATCCAGATAGTTACTTGTGCTTGGTGATTAATAATCATAAGCTGATTTAAATATGCTTTGTACACCAGCACAGTATATTTTTTCTCTATTTTTAGAAAGATGAGAAAATTATTCCTCAACATTAACATCATCAGATTTCTTAAAATATCCTTAATATTTTGTTAAAAATCAGTTGGAAAAACACCTACATACTTTTTTTTGAAAGTGTGCTTTGTTAGCTCTCTCTATAGCAGACTAAGCTTGAGAAACAAACTGAACTGCTTTGACAACTGCTTGTCAAAGTGTTAGTGGTATAATAGACTAGAAAAATCTAAATGTTTGTTTCCTCAAATCTTAGCCAAGATTAGTTGTTATACCATAATACTTACAGTGCACAAACCTTGCTGGATTTATTACTTACCTTATGTAGAACTGCCATGTTAGCCTAACCAATAACTGAGCTGTTACTTCTTATTAATTAACTTGTTTGGGCTTGGGTTTTTCTTGTAGGGCTCAAATGGTATTTTAACAGACTTCCTGAGCTTCTACACATTACCTTCAACAGTGATGCATCATCCTGTTCATAAAAGCCTCAAAGCTGCCTATTCCTTTTACAATATTCATACAGAGACTCCCCTGTTGGACTTAATGAATGATGCACTCATTATAGCCAAATTGGTAAGTTATGGGTTGTTTGGGTTTTTTTATGCTTCATTCACGAAAGTATTCTTAGGAGTGGTGGCAAGGTAAGAACTGGCAGCAATTTATCCATGCCATTGCATTCAGTTTTACTGTCCACAGCACAGAGTGCAGTTGATGAGACATAGACAATATGTATATCAAAGTACAAAGCACAGTGCTTGTTTTTCCTTTTTACTTTGAGTGATGCTAGGGAGTGACAAGTGCATAAAGATCAAGCACTTGCAGTAGCTTGAACTGTATAAACACCCAGGAGTACATCGATGACCATAGTCACTAAGTATCAGAAGAATGGAAAGTATCACTAAAATAATTTCCCTTGGAGATTAATTAATAACTTCTATCAAATACATTTTTCGGTTTTAAATTATTTTTTATTTCTAAAAAATATAAAAGTTTATTTATGTAAGCTTTATCATTTTATTGTGTTACTAATTGCTACCTCTACAGCTTCGTAGGTGGTGTCATGTTGTAGCTTTTACACATACCTTCATGCATGGAATTACACTGACAGATGGTTTGATTGAATGGAGGGGAAAAGACTATAAATGAAGTTCTTAAGCAGAAGAATTTTAAGAGTTTAGTACTGTCTGATGACAAACTAATGCTCAGCTCTTAGTCATCAGGGTTTCATGGGAGTGCAGTGTCAATACCAATGGTCACATATTCTGTGGCCCAGACCTGTTTAGCCTGGGCAATTCACAGCACTGCACAGGCTCCATCCAGTCCATGGCATCTGTTCTAGCAACCATTCCCAACATGCTGCAGAGCACAGGCATGTTTTCTGCTTTTCATGCTTGACACTTGCCTCTCCAACTGAAGTGTTGCCACCGCACTGCTTGTGGTGTCACTGCCAGGTGAGAGCTCAGCGCAGGTCAGTCTGTGCTCCGAATGACCACGCTCAGAGCCATGGCATGTGGCACAGGGATTTTTTTGCTGGTCCTATAGGAAGCCAGTGATGGTCTGCAAAGGCTGCATCTGTTCAGACTTCAGGCTGCATGATAGCAGCCATGGTCTTCAACTTGTCTGTCTCAGCCATGATCGTTCAGCCCTGCAGCTGAGCTGCCATCTATGACAGGAACTGCTTGCTGAGGCTGTTGACCTATAAGTAGTTCAGTAATTATTTGTCAGGGAAAACTCCTGAATAGTCATGGGGAATACAGAACCCTGCTACTCAGACTCCAGAATGATACAAAGGGAAGTTCAGAAACAGACTTTAAAAGGCAAGTATAATTTTCAGAAGTGGCTAAAAATATTGGTACCGATTCTTAAAAATCAAGATGGAAAAAGGGATAATGGTTGGTCTCCATTTGAAGTGTAGCATAGAGAGCCAAGTGTCTGGCCATTTAAAGGCCATAGGTGGAACAGGTTTGGAGGCAGTTACGTGGTGTGACTGCAAGGATGTATACCTTCCCCTGTGTACATTTCTCTCTGAATGTGACATGTGATTCTTTTATTTTGAGTGGATCATAATATAGCTACAATATATATAAATCCCATTAAATAATGGGATTTACACACCTGTGGATTTCAGAAGTACCTGCTGGGCCTGTCTGCATCATTAGATGCCTAATTACATTTGTAAATCTGGCACTTGAGTTTTACATGGTGAGAGCTGAGGCAAGGAAAGAGAACTGATAAATGCAGTCCTATTCACAGCTTTCTGTTTACAAACATACTGAGTCTGGCTGGGATGGAGTTAACTTTCTTCCTAGCAGCCCATATGGTGCTGCTCTTTGTGACTAAAGCAGGGCTGATAACACACCAGTGTTTTGGCTGTTACTGAACGGTCTTGCTCAGCCTCAAGGCTTTCTCTCTTTCCCCCAGCATGAGTAGGCTGAGGGTGGGCAAGAAGCTGGGACACAGCCAGGAGAGCTGATGCCAACTGACCAAAGGGATATTGCATACCGTATGATGTTCTGCTCCATAATAAAGGCTGAAGCAAGGGAGGAGGAAGGGGGGATACTCCCAGGGATAGCATTTATCTTCCCTAACAATCATGCGTGCTGAGATCTTGCTTTCCAGGAAGGAGCTTGACATCTGCCTGCTGATGGGAAGTAGTGAATGAATTCTTCTTTTTGCTTTGCTTGTGCCTGCACTTTTGCTTTCTCTATCAAACTGTCATTATTTCGATTCACAGGACATCTTGCCTTCTTTCTATTTTCTCCCCATCCTATGGGAGAGAAGCAAGCCACAGGCTGTGAGGGAGTTTGGCTCTTGGCTGGGGACAACACACCATTGTCCCTTCTGCACTTTCACTCCAGATAATAGGGTTTGGAGGTACAAATTTAACTCAGCAAATTGCTTTCAGGGTTTGCGTGCCTGCTTAATGTTTATTTTTATCTTCATAACATACTATATAAAATTAGCTTAGAACTAAGTCTAGTAAAATCTTGGCAGTTACAGGATAAAACACATGACCCTCAAAGTAAAACCCAGAATTTAGAGTTATTCGCTTAGGTTCCATGCATTCTGCGTGCAGAAAGTGGGATTTTGCATCAGGATAATCCCTCCAAAACCCTATGTATTTTAGTGTGGAAGATGATATTCAGTTTCTAGATCTAGAACAGGAGAGAGCCTAGAAACAAGGAAGAAATTTACTTCTGAGTCTGCTTCAATAGTCTGTGAAGAACTGTGAAGAAACTACCTTTGAACAGGAACCTTTTTATACCTCTCATAAGATACTAACCTCAATCTAATCTGCTAATGTTTAGATACTGGACTAAAACTACATCTGTAGAGTTCATAATTTATTTGAATTTTGAGTGCTTAATTGCAGAGTTTAATGTGTCTGTACCTAGAGTGCTTCTCTATTCTCCTCTGCTTCCCTTCCTGCCTTCTGAGATTTCTGTTAACTATCTATTACTAACTTGGAATATTCCAAAATCTGCTTTCAGTGCTAAGTGTCAAATCCTCACCACCTTATTTGTCTTGTTTCTATGTGGTTTTTCACAGCACATTTAACTTAGCAAAGCTTCATCTGCACACAGAGTGATCTTTTTGCAAGGTAGTGGGAAACCTTACTAAACTCACTATCTGTGCTTGTGACTTTATTTTGAATAGTCCTGATGTGGAGCTTAAAATGCTTATTTTCCTCAACCCTCTTTTTTCCTAATATGGGATGCTCATTTAAAAGAAAAAAAAAAACACCTGATTTTTATACTGAGTAAAGAATGTTCCTTACCCCATCTTCTTGTACTTAAGTAATTGAGCAGTATTGTTTTGTAACTTACTTTTGTCTTAAGAGTACATCATGTCCTGCTGGTGCACTACCTTGGTGCTGTTAAGACTGCAAGATCTTAGTTCAGAATCCCTTGCAGTTAGTTGCACTTAAATGGAGTTCTGTATCCACACCCCAAGCAAATTCAGCTATCCACACATGCTGGTTGTCACTTTGATGGCTTAACTGACCTTGGGTTTATGCTACTTGTTAAGAGTTCACAGTAAGTTAGGATTTGGGTGTGTTTGTATTGCTGCACAAAACTCTTGAGACTGATTTGGCCGTGTGGCTCTTCTGAGAGAAAAAATGACTCTCTGAGTGGTGATTTGGGAGATTTATGAAAAGAGGAGTTGGTAGAGGGTGCATGAGTAGGGGAGGGATTATCACCTGAAAGATTTGAGTTCTGAAGACAATGGCATTTCAGAAAAGGACTGAATCACAGAAATATTTTTATTGTTAACAGAATGATAAATTGAAAAACACCATAGGCTGTATTTATGCAGCTTCAGCTGGAATAGGCCATGTGTGTCAAAACACTGTATGTGATTTTAAAAAGTGTGTATCTGTAAGGATAAAATTACAGAAAATGCTTTAGGGACTCTTCAGACCTTAGACCCTGAAAGTGGCTATAAAATTTGTACCCTCTTGGAGATAACCTTCAAGAAAAGCTGTGCTTTATACTTCAGTTTTTATTGGGAATAGACTTGTGTGTGTACCTAATTAAAAGACAAGATTTATTTCATTGTCTTCTTTTCCTTTTAATTAGCCTAGTCTCTTGGATAGTGTATGCCACTGTGTAAAGTGTCATTTGAAACTTTAAAAAGTAAAATTTTTTTTAAAAATGTTTTGCTGTTGCCAGAAAGGATTTGATGTATTCAATGCACTAGACTTAATGGAAAACAAAACATTCCTGGAAAAACTCAAGTTCGGGATTGGAGATGGAAATTTGCAGTATTATTTGTACAACTGGAGGTGTCCGGGCATGGAATCTGAAAAGGTAAAGGAGAAAAAAGAGTTTCTGAATTCTATTAGATGTAATTGTACATTAATCTACACTGGCCAAAAATGGGCAGAAGTTTTAAAATAACTTTTTTAATTGGCCCTTTTTATGATCCATAATTGAGGTGCAGGAAACTACTGATTTTAAGATTTATTGCTATACTTAGACTAAAATACTTTTTTTTTCTTCTTTCTTTAGGTTGGTCTTGTATTACAATGAGGACACTCACATTTCTAGAACTCTGAGGCCATCGTTTTGAGTTAATTTGATCTCCATAACTCTTGGAATGGTATTGTTCAAGAGGAGTAAAAGCACAACGTCGGTGATACTGAAATAGTCCATTAAATCTGAACAATGAAAACATCCACATGTGACCAAATTTATGCATTTTCAGATAGATCAGAAGGCCCATGAAACTCTTCTATTGTCCATGAAAAGAATAAAAAGCACATTCATTTAAGTTTCAAAGCTTAGCTTGCACCTTGATGAGAAGAAGGTATTTTTTTCCACTCTGTAGAAAAGACTGTTTTGTACAAACTGAACTTCAGTGGTGGATTAGGGTACAAAAATATTTGCTATTATGTGGATGAACTGCTGCATTTCTATTTATTAAGTGGTGGTGTATGTTTGTCAGTGTAACCGAATGAAGGATACAACTTCGAGTATCTTTGCTTATTTACTTCACGTGGATGTCATCATTTGGGGGAAAATCAAGAAGTACGATACGTTTGTAGCTCTGTGAAAGTCCTGGATGCTTTTGTAACTGGAGCAGTATGACAATGTACTGGTTTAACTAGTGCATTTGTTTCTCCATAAGCAACGCTGCCAAATCAATAAAAAATACAGATTTGTACTTTGATCTTCAATAGATCAGTGGATTGATTTAACAGTATCGCACTGTTCAGTGCAGGTGTTATCTATGTTGCCGGAATGATAATACATTACTGTACTTAATTTACAGTTGTGGCACAAAACCTTAGTTTTTCCTCAGTAGAATAACATCAGCCTGTGTGTAAAACTAAGAATTTTAGTAGTGCTATCAGGATGTTTATAGTTTGAATGTTTTCAACGCTTCTGCGAAATTGCACATATTCCTTTGTCTACTTTGATTTCCTATGAAGTCTGTAATTCTAATGAGAAGTATCTTGTGTAAATATGTATTCATAAATTGTTCCTGGTAGTGTTTTTATCCTGAATTTGGAACAAGAAGTTTTGCTATATATATGTGGCTGGTAAGCAGAAGAGAAATGCTCTGCCCTCAGTCCTTGGAAGTCTCTGTAACTGCACTTCCTGAAATGTAGGAGGGCTGATCTTTATTGTTGGGTGGAGCTGTTTTAATTCCCTCATGAATGCTCAGCAACGGGAGTGGCTTCTGAAGCACTTTATATGCATTCCAGCGTAGTGTCATAGCTAGATATGATAGCAGTTCTTTCAGCTCATGGATGCTGCAGTAATGGGAGCACTGAGAAAATCTGCATTAAGAAACTGTTCTAGCTGAAAGTGCCAAATTGTGGTAGTGAAGCCTCTGTGCTGTGAGCATCTTTTGAATGTGACTTGAATATCTCATGAAATGCAAATGTCTAACTTTCCTTTTAAACATGCCTGTAATTCTGACAGCAGATTTTGCTGAAAGTTTAATTCTGTACATGAAGATAAATTTGTCTGTTCTTCATAACTGATAGCCCTACCCACCTCCTTGTAGCAGTGGGGTTTTTCTTTCTTCCTGCTCCTTTTCCAATGTGTGAATGGTTTGTGTTTTGGTTTATTTTTCTTGTTGAATTGTGGTGAGAGGATTCTGCCCTAGAAACAGTGATACTTTCCCTTACTGCATTATAGCTCTGTGATTAAAGCATCCGACCTCCTTCAAACAAAGGAAGGGACTGAATGTGGTTTGTCTGACTCCTGGGTGTGCACCAGCTTGGGACCTCATGAATTTAAAAGGACTTTGAAGGAGATCTAATGGTGCAGTTGGGCTTTATGTCTCTGGCCACTCTGATACCTGTCTGCTAGTAGCAGTTACAACAGATGGTGCAGAGGAAGTTTGGACTCTCTATGTGAGGCCTGAGGAGAATTAAGTGCCTGAAAATATCATTGATGGTAGCGGTATCTGAGATAATAAGAAGGATTTAATCTCAACTCTGTCAAAGACTTAAGTTTTTAACTCCCAAAAGGCACGAAGGTGCCCCCCTGGCAGGGCATTCTCACTGGAACCCTCTGGGATGAGGAGGAAGTTCACCAAGGGGCTCAGTGTGGGCTGCTTAGGTTCTAAGGGCAGAGCCTTGTCAATCCTTGCTCGGGGCTGCCTAATGTGAGGTGGGACAGCAGAGCACAGCTCTGTCCTCATGTATAAGGTACTTCCTTGCTAAGAAACAGTCACAACCCAGCTCTTTCCTAATCTGGATGGGTGGTGTTGAATGCCAGGTGGAAGATACGCTCATGTTCTCTGCCTTCCTTCCCCTCAAAAAAATGCACGTGGAAGAAATGTTAGGCAGGTGTTTTCTTTTCTCATCTCTTCTCTGAAATCGGAAGGCAAATCCTCCCAAGTACTGTTGTATGTAAAATTGAGGCCATGATGTGACCAATTATGCCCTGGTAGAAGACAGACTTGAACCTGGGTTTCCTGCAGCCTGGCTTTCTGCCCAAATCTACAGGTTAGGGCACATGAAGAAAGGAGCATGGCCACTCTTTTGCTCTGTTCTGGTAAAACAGTGTCATTTGCTTCTGAATCCAAGGGGTAAACTTCTGTCTCATTTTCCAGCTCACTTTCCATGTTAACTGAGGGTAGGGAGGGCAGAGTTGTGCTCCTGCAGAAGCTGTGCAGCACTATAACTGGGAGCAAATTTATCGATCAGAGCATGAGGGAAGTGGGCAGCTGAGCCTGAGTGCAGGGGCAGTTCCTGGAGGGTTCTGTTCATGAACCTGTGTGTTACCTAACAGCTGTGCAATCCAGCATGGTCTCTTCTGTCCCTCTTGAGTGCTCTTCACCTCGAAGAAGTACTGCTTTGCTGAAGTATCACAGCGTCAAGAGGACATGAATCTTGAAGGTGTCCCAGCCCACACGCACACAGTAAGACAGTTACTCGGGAGGTAAAATTGTGGCAACTCACTTTCGCTTTCTAAGCAGGTATTTAACAATAGATGAGTATCTGTGTGGGTGTCACTGTCAGCAGCTCAATAAGAGAGGCTCTTCTGTTGTTTCCAAACTTGAACCTGTGCATTAGGCTTGCTATAAAGATAAGACTCCTCAAAACCCAATAGGTGTTTGTACAAAAATTGGCAAATGTAAGGCTTGCTCCACCACCTTTCCCACCCGCCTTTTTAAATATCTTTTGATGTTGAAGAAAGAACATCATTTCTTTCCCAAAGTAACTTCCTATCTTCAGAGGGGACACAAGTCCCTGAAGACAGATCCCTGCAGGCAGGCAGCAAAGTGCTTGAAAGATGATTGCTGTGCTTATGTTCTTTACCAAAGCTAATCCTTGTGCTCTGTGTAAATGCTAAGACTTCTATGTTACGGTTAGCCAGCCTGGGAATGAAATACACTAGTGCTAGCATGCCTTCAAAGTTTTATTCATCCAGAAAGCCAGAAAAAAGGACATGTATGAAGGACTGCAAAGCAAGGGAAAAAACCCTTGCCTCTTCTTGCCACCCTCAGACAAGGACAAAAATTTTAGCATTGAATGTTTTGTTTAAACTCCAAGGAGCATCGTGACTACAGAATCATTGCTATTGTCTGCCTTTGTAGTTGGTATCACTGACTTAAGTAATTTCTAAATAAATCCAAGAGACAGATGAGCTATCGGATGGCATTGGAAGTTTGGATCAACAAATCTCTGAAAACTATGTGTAAATTCCACCTTTAAGGAACTACAAAGTAACTCAGTTATTTTAAGCTTTCTTTTACAAGTAAATTCCTAGGCTGTTGATTGTCTGAATTGCAGCAATATTCCCCTTCCTTACTATAATACAGCTGTCTCATTAGGAAACTGTTCATAGTCCCCAGTAAAACTAAAGGAAAATCAAAAGTTATGTGGTATGTTTTCAGTCTTGTAGCACTTATAGCTCTCATCTACTTTATATACAACAGTATATGGCTTATCTCAATTTCCTGGGAAATAATTTTAGACTTCCTTTAGAAATCTAATTGAGTTTAGATTTACAGTTTCTTACAGGAATTGTGTTAATAATGGAAGTTTTTTTTTTTCTTACTGCAGCAGTAGTAATTTGGTTGTGTTTTGTATTTGAAAATAAAGCTTTTCCTCCAGCATACCCTACACCAGGTATCAGGTGAAACCCAAGTCTGCATACATTTGTGACCAAAACAAGTTTATTGTTCAGCAGAAAAAACTATAATAGAGTTCAAAAGGGAAGTCTGCCTGTGCTGTTACAGCTGTTTACTTGAAACCAGCTTTAAAAGACTTATACTGGCATGGACCTTTGTTTAAATAAACTTTCACTTTTGGTATTGATTTGTTTGAGTAATTATACTTAAATCTGTTTTGCTTAAAGCATGCTCATCTGTGTAAAGATACAAAGTTCATTTAATGCTTTGCATTAATTCCAGAGATGTATTAATTCTCTCTTAAAATTACTTTGCTATGTTCATTGCCAACTTTAACTCTCTGATCTCCAACTACAAATGAAATACTTACCCCCAGGTACAGACTGACACTTAAGTCTGAGCAACATTCTTTATTAAAGCAGAAAGTACCTCAACCGAATGCAACATAAAATTCACCTTGTATTCGAAAGCTTTACACTGTAAAGCCTAAAAAGATTGTTCAGTTAGGACTGTGCTCCATTCTGCATGTAAAAAATCAGTTTAATAGAACCAAACTACAATCAGTTATGCAGAAAAAGCTTTTTTCTTTTTGCGAGGTGGTTTCTTTATCTTATTGGGATTTGGGACAAGTTTCTTGATTTTCAAGGGCTGCAAAATTACATTTGAAAGATCAGGCTGATTGCTTTCTGTACGCTTCCGCTTCTGGCTTGTGAGCTCATCCCCCAGTGCCTCTGCAAGCTCGTCAGGTTCCTCATTTTCTGAAGAATCTGTATCTGCATAAGCCACAGATTCTTCAGTTCTGTACTGAAACCACGGCACTTCCAGTGCTGGTATCTTTGGAATTATTGCTTCTATTGTTTCAGTGAATTTATCAGACTGCTTTTTGAAGCCTAGTGCTAAAATGGATGTTAAGCCAAGAAGTGGCGCGACTGTTTCACTGAGCCGGGGCACTTGGCCTGCGGGTGTGGCTCGACTCGCGCTCAGCTCAATGAGATGCGATGTGATCATGGCAGGCTTTGCAGACTTGCACACCAGCAAGAGAAGCAGTTCATTTCTTTCCAATGCTTTTGTAACTTCATTAACTCCAATAGCAAGCTGTCTTCTGATACTTATGTCAGTCCACCCTGGTTTTTGTTGATGGCTTTCTGTTTCCTCCTCTTTAGGGAGTTCGTTGGTGCTAGCATCGCACTTTCTTTCCATTTGTTTTTTTGTAAGGGAACGTTTTTTCTTCCTTGGACTCTCAATCTTTTTAAGTCCAACATGTTTAATCCTTTCTTCTAAGGTCTGTAGTATAAAATGCATATCTTTTCCATCTATGGTTTTCCACTGAAAAACAAAGGGGTTATCTAGACATGTTTTTACAGTGATTTTCTTTGCTTTACGAAGTGTTGCCGTCCCTTGCTGAATTACAGACATCCTGAGGTTCTTCTGTGTTTTGTCACCCTAGGGAAGAAAGAAACATTAGTCGAAGTACTGTACTGTTTGCTGGGAACATCACTACCACAAGCCTCTTTTGGGAATGCAGAAAAGAAATGTCAAATATCCTATGTCAAAGTGATATTGGCAACTATCACCTTCTTCACCGTGCTCAGTGCTAAGTTGCTTTTTTTTGTTTATAAATAATAAAAAAACTAGACTGGACAGCAAGGCAACAGCAGTGATGAAACCCTTCAGAAGCTGAACAAAAGCAGCTGGAGGTATTACAGATGTAAAAAACAAACAAAAAACCACAATCAAACAACCCCACCCCCAGAGTCATGGATTGAAAGACCACTACATTTTTGCTGTTGCACAGCTGCATTGTCCCCCATGCATGTGAGGGAAAAAGCTGAATCACAACATGCTCCAAGTCCCTAAATTTATTTAAGATTTTTAGAAATTTGTCTTTTCAGTCTTTACTCCATGCCTTTGTGTTTTTCTGCATTTGGAAGGCATGACAGAGATCTGCCTCAGACTCTTATTAATTTATGCTGTGAACCCTATGAAATGCCCTGGGCCACCCCAGCAAAGGCCCATCCAGCCCTGCTGTGTCTCCAGCAGCAGGAACTAGAGAAACTGTTAGGGAAGGACAGGCTGCCATTCTCCTCAGCTCCCAAACACACAGAATGGTTGCATCTGGGATGTAAGAAGATCTGACAGCTTACCCTATTAGTCCTTTATGGAGCCATCATTCGTGCAGTTATCTAATCCCTTTTGCTAATCATCATAGTGGCAACAACCAAAAAGTGGAAACAACTAAAGAATGGAAACGACCACGAGAAACCTAAAATGCGACCGAGTTAGAAATGGAAGCTTATGACAACTTAAAAAAATTAGCTCTAGGTTATATCTTCTAAAAGCTTTTAATTGGGGATGCTCCGATGACTGTTTACAGGGGATATCAAGCAAAGTTAGCAACAGACTCGTGTATGAGAAAGAAGCAAAACATGAGGGATTTCCCAGCTGAAAGATTACAGTTTTCTTTCCAAAATGGGTACTGCTGAGGAAAACAAGCGTGCAGGGATAAGATAAAAGCTACAAGCACCGTGCTTCTCCTCCTCGCGCCGCTGCCACGACCTCCTCGCTTCCCGCGGAAGGGAGAACGGGAGAA